TACAATTCAAATACTTTTGATCACCATACTATACCAATGATATTTGCGATTGCCTTTTTTCTATATACAGATGCTTTCAAATTCGTATATTCATTTTCTCTTCATGCAAGTTGTGTCAGCATAAGACTTAACAAGGTAGCCTAGTAGTGTTCGAAATAGCAGTTGGGGGTTAACACGGCTAAATAGGTAGGGATGTGCTTCAGTAATGCATCACTCAGCTTGGATTTTACTATAGGTTGTAAGGTGTTATCTAAGTTAGATATAGTAGAGGACTTGGGGTTAAGGTGCGCCTACAATATGTCCTTCACAGAAAAGATCTTGAAACAGACCTCAAAGTCCCAACGTCTTATAGTTTGCGTATTTCGTAACCTTTATAACGAGTTGCGCATTTCGATATATAAATTACGTATTCCACTACTCCTAAAATACTACACATTTATTCTGATTAATGTTTTCACAATGAATAAATAATAACAGGCGGTTTGCACTGTTCATTCATGGGACTGACTGTACCTTAAATTATGCGTTCTGATGTAATAAACGTGGACTAAACCCTTTATGAAAGACGGGACTGAAACTAAATCTAATATTTTTCTTCAAAATACCTAATAAACTATCATTTAAATCTAGCGAAGTAATTCAGCATGTAGAAGCTCCCAGTTACAGCTTCTGTAACTCGTTGTCATCAGTGTAACAAACATATACTAAATCATTTCTCCGTAGTGTAGGGGCAGTGCAATGTCACTGAGCCCTAGCCGAATCATCCAGCAGTTGGGTCAATGAATATCGAACAGATCATCGATCCCTGTCAAAGTCAAGGACAACCAACACGCACCAGTTAATCGTATGCCATGAACTGATCCACGCGGTATTTATCTCGCTGTCTTCTCTGTACTCATTCCTGCCAATATATTTCCCTAATAACGTCCTTTGTGTTATACGGTCTTCAAAGTATCTAGCACCGCTAATCACTCTACAAAGATAATCTAATTTAGTGATTAACACTAGTGAGCAAGACTACCAATAACGCAACCTATCATTATGAGCTTTATTATTGAATTCTTTACTTATTCCTTTTCCTTTTTTGACGTCGCTTATGTTAATCAATCACTGTGAACATTCGCTGCTTCATATCACTATTGGTTAGTATTTAAACTTGAATAATTAGTTCAATCGATAGAAATAACTAAGCGTGGTTCTTTAACAATCATTAGCAGCATGTAAATGCTCCTGTGCAATATATCTGTTAAAATATCAACCACTCGTAAGTATAGCCACATGGCAACATGAACGTATATCTGTTTGCAACTTATCCACCTGTATAAGCAATACAGGATTGACTGTCAATTATAAATTCATCTTTCTACCTAGCCACTATCAATCTTAGATCTCGTTTAGACTTCATCAGGCAATGCAACGTATTTGGCCCAAATTAATTTTGGAGTTATAAAAATTCAGTCTACAACGCTGTGTTGATCCAAGAATTTAATTAGACACTTCGCCGAACTTAATATGTCACTCAACACTAGATAATAAGCCATTTTACGAAACGATCACGTTATCTAAATCTAAACTTAAGTTACATGGGTGGTTATCATTTTAATTAATGCTTACCATGCGATTTGTGTTTTGCTGTAATCTCACACGGTAAATCAGTGCTCGATTTCGTTATTGCATGAAAGTCGTTTTAATTCCTTCTTCGGTTTATTTACATGCAATACGAGTTTGAAAATATCTAAACGACCTCTGAAATTCTCCACGAATTTCACCATAGTCCTTGCATATGTTTGTTTTTACACATCCAACTTATACATTAATAATACCCAAACGAACGTTCAGTGCAACCGTCAGTATACGAAAGGACGATGTTACTTCGATGTGACGTTATAACACACCCAAACTACTGTAGCTAATCGAATTTGACGTCATACTTTATTTTATGAGATATTGTTTCCGCGTGGCTGTGTTATCTAACAGATGATTTCGGTTCATCAATCGGCTGTTCAACTACTCGACGATCTAAAGCCTGTCCAGTTCAATCTGCGGTTTGACGACACTATCATTAGCGCGAATCATCAGTTTACGCAGTCGAGCGAATCTCCTGCAAACTGAAAACAATGTTGGCGTCTGTATCCCAACACTGACAGCATTTTTCACCGATATCATTGACATGAGTCCATAGTGACACTCTCTGTTTCTTATGTTCTTTTCGATATTGTTTGATTCACTTATCGAACAAACATGCAGCACTCACCGTTTGTCATCTTTTAGAGACTTGGTCGTGCCACCTTCGCTCTCAATCTGTGTTCTTCGACCCTTATTGGTTGTAACAGCAGTCATCGGCTTTTCAAACTGACTACAAGTTGATCGGTAGCTTCGCACAACGAAATCACGACTTATCTTCACGGTTATACTTCTCTACTTACTTTTAGTCGGTTAAATATAGATATATCTAGAAGTCGACAAATATGAACAGTTGTCAACGACACTGACTGACTTTCTTCTCTAAACCGATAGCAGTACAAACATTGGCATCGATTGATAATACACTTATCGTACTATCACTGTGGCATCACTACTTTTGCGGCGAACTTAACGTTTCTCATCTGAGGAACTCAATCACCTGTCAGAGCTATCTTTTTCAGCGCAATCTGATAGAACTTTAAAATGTCGTGTATTTTTCTGTTATTTCTATGGTTGATCGCTCAACATTCAACCGACATCCTAGTTACGTGTTATTGCTTGTTGTTTCCCGATCAGTTTCTGCCGCCTCCTTTCCATTTTTCTTACAGCTCGGCAATATCCGGAGGATTCATATTAATTGTCTGGCAACTTCCAGCTCGCGACTACCCCCAACATGTTTGGTACTGATTCAAACGGTCGTAAAATCTGGTGGGTGAGCATTGAAGGGCCAGTGTAATGCCACTGAACCCTAGCCAAATCACCTGGCAGTTGGGTCACTAAATATCGAACGGATCATCGATCCCTGTGAAGGTCAAGGACGATGAACGCTCATCGGTTAATCATACGCCATTGACTGGCCCATGCGGTAGTGGTTCTACTTTCGCTTGTATCTACTTTAGCTAATATATTCCTGTTCTTACAAAGCAGTACCACCGACGCCACAATAGTGTGAGCCACGATGGAAAATCATGTGGCTGTGAAGTAAGATTATATGAATAAGGCCACCACGCCTTGACAAGTATCTAATAATATATAAGGTCCACACTTCTGGAAGCATATATAAGACCATTAACACCCAAATCCAAGTCGCACAACTTTCTATGATATTAGGATACTACAACTAAAACGGTATAGACTTTGCTAGAATTTCTCCTCAGAAATCTTGACAAGCTTTAAATGTGTAGCCCTAAATTAACCCCAATTAAGTTATTCTTGCTTTCAAACGGATCAATTTATTTATTCTTCTTGAGAGATTTGAACCTTGACACTTTTTCGCCTATCAACTCTGTTTTCATATGAGCGTGTTAATGCATTGCACACTCTACTCATTACATAACTACAACTTGCTTTTTTCTGACTATAAGTACCGAATCACACTTGATCAAATAAATTTGACTCACCTGCCTTCCCTCAGATTCGTTCCGCTTTACTTTCCCACTTCTTACTCTGAATGTCTATCTGCATGAAGGAGTGTTCAGAATAATTATTTCCAGCCCAACACGTATCTGGTTTCTTATTACCGCCGTCACACGAAAGTGGTTAGCCTAGGTAACGTACGGAGTTAGATGGAAAGTTTGTGTTCAAAGCATATTCGTACTTTCAGATCAGATTGAGAAACTGAACAACATAGTGCTAACTCTTGAACTGTTTGAGTCAATTTTCAGTGTACTTCTGAACGGGTTTGTAAGAACTTTTTCATAACGTTTCTCTACCGCAAGTAGGATGTAGTAGTGGTATTGGTTCTCAAACGCACAATGTTCAAAGCTGTATATATAATTAGTGAGATTTACATTCAATATGTAACACTATAGAGAGGATAAAAAATGGTGGATGCGAGAACATTTACTCTGTGTGTCATGGCTCGGCCATGCATGCGTGGTCGTCGTGTAACTCAATCCTTTTCATATAAAATATATCATTATGTCCACAGCCGGAATGTGTTCTTCAAAAGAGCTAAACATCATATTGCTGATTGTAACTTAGGACGATTCAGTACGGAGAATGATGTGACATTCATGTATGATCCTATAAATTAGTTAATCACATCATGACAGATCTAAAATTTCGGGATTACAACTATTATTCTATTAGCCGAAATAAGTGTACTAATCCCGAACAGGACCATAGTTCGACGATGTCAAGCAAGTTACGACAGTGGGTGTAATTGAGCGATTTACTGGGACATAAAATGCTGGCCATCACTTAAATACAGTAGCTGGGACGTTGTATATGGTGTCATCATGTTGAAATTTATCGCACAAAGTCAACGTACAAGAATGAACAAAAATAATGACACCATCTCTAGTCATTGAGCTATTAAAAGAATTCTACGATAATATACCAGCGATGTTTAATCTCCATATTTTTGATTTTCATTGTACTGACCCTGAACCAAATGCACCTATTTTCAGCCAAGTCAACAGAGTGGAGTTAAAACTATCGAGTTTCACCATAGCCAAATAGACTTATGAAATAATGACGTCTTAACTCGGCTGACGAAGGATTTTACTCTTTTTGAGATTAATTCGACCAGAAATTAGGCTCTACCGAATGTTCATAGAGACTGAACGTCTAACCAGTGTACTGGAGAAAGTTTAGGGGGAAAAAGACTGGAGTGTATTACTGATCAAGTTCATTACCAAACCCCATTGAAGTCAACGCCCACATGGAACAGTACACGGAAACCCTGTATAAAAACTTGTACAAACATTTTTATGGTTAGAATCTGTAGGTTCTGAGACTCTCTGTCAGAGCTAACCGTACTGGTACTTTCTAAAATTTGATCATTCCTCCCATCGATAAATAAATTTTTGTCCTTTGGATTTGAAAACAATGTAACGAGGAAGAAGTCTTTTCTATTTTTTTGAATTCAGGACCCGAGGAATAAGCAGCTCTTTTCCACCCTAGCAAAGTTTAAAGTTTGAATCGTCACAGTGACAATTTTATCGTCGTAGATTAGGGAGGGGTTTCCAAACGTGTGTGAGTTGTTAAAGTGGCAGCAGTTGGTGGGCTGGTTGATTAAAGTCGCTGTTGGATGATCTATACCACCATTATCGGAAACAGTTCTAAATCTTTATTATGAAGTTGGATCAGACAAGTGATGAGTCGTCTAATACGTTACTGTCGAAGGTTTGTCGCCCGATCACTGTGGTTAGTTAACATTGAAATATATTATCCATTATATCGTTTGTCAGATACACCAAACCATAATTGATAAGCTCTATCCGTATAGGATAACTAGATGGCTGTTTGCATTGTTGTTATTTGCCATTTATGTGCTCCGGATAGCATCTATCCAGGTGCGTCGATTTATTTTACATAATGTTTGTATTCAGGGTTTCCATATAGTTAGCTATACTCTAGCAATATACTTATTGAGTTTATTCATATCATTTATTTCCCCAAAAGTAGATCCTGCTGCTGCAGATTATTCGGGTAGGTGTGTACTATTCAAATAACTAAATGGCTACAAGATGAAATCCCTACACTCCCACGAACTGTAGGTGAAGAGTTCAGACCTTTTATACCAAGATTACTTGAGTCAAAATTCTGGTAAGACTCTGGTTCCTATTTTTTTGTGGTAGGTTATATGTATTCCGAACGTTAGACATATTTGTGTTAATTCTTAATTTATCCGAACCCACCATACGTATTAATGATCCGTAAAACAGTTCGGAGACGTTATATACATGACTAGTACCACAATTGACCATGATTTAGCAATATTTTCATAGTTTGTTTCCCCCAGTAAATAATTCAAATACTCAGTAGTAGATATCTTCGCACCATACTACTCTATTTTCCCCATTATGATTATTTCAGTATCATTGTGGAAAGATTAGAAAGTTGGTGTTAGTCTTGCCATTGAGGATATCAGCTGATCTAATTTTTTTGATCCACCAGCCAGAAAAACTTTAACCTAAATATCAGAAGGGGTTTTGTGGAGATTAGTAATTTTTATAGTTGAATTGATGAATCAGTTGAAGCTAGACCACCATGGAAAACCTGGAAGCACTGGACGGCCGCTTCGTTCTATTGTGGGACTCCTCAGCAGTGCGCACTCACGATCCCGCCTCGCAAGATTCCAACCCAGGACCTACGCGAGCGCTTAACCTCTAGACCACTGAGCAGGAATCCAACGGTGTTAATGTCTAACTTTAGCCAATCCACGAAGTCGCATAACCGTCCACCAATGTCTTCAGTGAGTTACTATCTCACAACAGACCCGGTTGAACTACATAGAAATAAAATTAACACAGTAATATTTTTTAGTTTTGTTTTTAGCGACATTAGTTTTTGATCTACATACATTTTATTTTAACACAAACATTGGTACAGGGGGGCACTAGGTATATATGCGCCACACATACAAGTGCAGATTATAATGCGTGATTGTCTGAATACTTTCTACAAACCTCTTAAGAAATAACAGTTAAATTGCGTGGTTAGTTACGTAGTGTTTTACTGTGGTAAACTGCACTTCTCACTGTGCCAACATTTATATTGAAATAATAAAGGGGATTGTGTTTATGAAAATTGTCGACCATATCAGGGCATGTTGATCACGTGAGCCTTCTTAGATATTCACACAGTAATTGTCTCATTTCAGATAAGTGGAACACTGATAAATCTATGAAGCGTACGAAAGCTTAGTACTTATTAGCGTGAACATTGTAATTATATACTGACTAATCTTTATGGTCAAGCATCTAAATCAAGAAATGGTTGGTCATTCCTAAGGTCTTGTCACCGGTTTTGTGCCATCAAACATCAGTTATAGCGAACAAAATCATTAATAGTTAACAGTTACTCAGTTTTGAAATCCATTTACTAAACTTTGGTTATTTCGACTATTTGTGGTATAGATAAGGTCTGATCAAAATGTCTTATCTAGTTACTATTTTTTCTACTTATATCGCCTTCATGAGGTTGGGAGAATACTATAAATAACCAGAGTTTAACCCTATCAAGTCAGGAACCCACTGACATCTATTCTTACTCATTCTTTAAGGCATGTATTTCTTGGTTTTGACCAGTAAAATCTGTGCTTGTAAAAACTTAATGCTGTAATCCAACCATATATTTCCTATCTTCCTTTATTATGTGAAGATCTTGTCTATTGTTTACGAATATTCCTTTTAAGTTACTTGGTTTTGTCATGGACTCACTTGGTTTCTCTCCCATTGTGTTAATGGTAATTGTAATAACCGAATACATGGTCAAAACAATTTCTACATTGCTTCTATATAAGTTGATCGCCTTCATTTAGAAAGTGTGTTAAAAATCACCTTAAAGATATTCAGCATCTAAACCAATCATTTTCACTCGTGTTAATAAACAACTGTACTTCCTAATACATTACAGGCTCTCCACCGTCCGTGCTGTTTCAATCAGTATATTTTGCACATATCTTCCCTTCTTGGATATTCCAGTATTTTGGCCGATACTAGTAATGTATTTTATAATGTTGTTTGCTATTATGATGAAGAAGCAAATCAAGGTTTGTCTTATTATTTTTTCATAATATTTACCCATGTGCAGTTAGTATTTCCTATTTGTTTAATCCACTATTCGTCCTATCAGTTCGTTTTAAGGTTTATAATTCCATTGAGTTTCCAGTAGAAAACTTCAGATATCAAATACTAACTTTTCCATTACCTTATATTGTTAGGTGCGATACTTCAATTTTGTGGATCAGTTCACGTACTGTAGCAGTGATTATCTTACCCTCAGGTTTTATAAAAGACACTAAATATATGTGTTTGTTGATAAAGTTCCATAGCATAATGGGATTGTTCCATTCACATATTGAAAAGCTTTTTAAACCTTAATTATTTAAGAAAGCCCATTGAGTTCCCCATTTGTTAATAATTTAACGAAATACAATTTCAAGCAGCCGAATTCGGGTTTTACTTCGTGTGATGGTTAGTAAGGCTGCCCGACCTTCGAAATTAAAGTAGATAGCTTGAAGTTTAAACCTGCCACCTAATCGTTAGAACTTGGTTACTGTGACTATAGAGCCACCATTTTAATAATCCTGTTTGTTATTTCATTTCAGATACTAAGTTTTAGTCATCATAGAACCTGGTACAGATGTACATTTTGCTAAGTTCTCATACTATTTCAGGATGGCAAAATAAAATTAATAAGGTAAGTGGCGAGTGGGTAGTGATAGTATGAATAAGAAAGTAAATATGGTTCGAAGACAAAAAACGAGATGAAAGAATAAAACGTATTCACTGATATTGAAAATATTCAAAAAAAGAATGAATGAATGGACCTTAATCTTCTAAATACTACGACACAACCGGGTCACTGAGGATTAAGACTAAATCCAAAACACCAGTATTCAGCCTATAAATAAATAAGCTACTTCAAATACTCTATTGTCGATTAATACCTGTTGTATGTCTCAGATAGTTCATTCGGACAATGGGTGTTCACAAAATAAGATATCAAGTTATTGTGTGACCGTTTGCATTTAATGACGTTAGTTAAGCTCAACTACGGATGGCTGCGTTAATTGTAACGTTTGAAAGGTACTGACAGCTTGTTCTTGTTCTCTGTCAAACACATATCATGTAGTTCGGCGTTATTTATTCCATTGCCTCATAAATATGTAGCATTTAATCATTTCTGTTGCTTGTCTGACTTTCTTTTTCCTTTGTATGATACAGCATATGATTAAATATCGCTACGTTCCATTTACTTATGGGAAACCGAGACCTATGGGACCAAACAATAAGGAACAACCATCTCCTGTGATTAATTCATGATTTATAATTACAAACAAGTTGTCTGCTTTATCTTTTGTTCATTTTAGGTATTTGTACATAGTTGTTTTGATCTTATCTTTGCTCTGTATATTTAATTTTGATTGTATTTTTATGCTTCAAAAGAGAATGTCGATTATTGGAAAATAGAATGTCTTTGTTTTACATCACATAGTTTGTATATTTCTTTTTATCGTTGAAAAATCTCTTGGTCTTTTTCTATAATAAAGTTTAAAGCACGAATCCAAATATTTTCATTTTACGTTGGTCTGTCCAGTAATTTCGGGAACTGAAGTTGTGATACCTTTGTTTTACACGTTTCAAGGTACTTCACTCCAATCTTTTAAATACCCTGTATTTACGGCAATATACTTGTCCCATCTCTTCCTCCATTGTTCTAAACGTCTTTTGCGATCCTCAGAATTCAAGCCCTTCCAGCTATTTCCTTTCCTGTTTTGTTTTCTTTACATCGTTTCCATTCCCCCACTTGCACAATCGTCTTGGATTTCAGGAATCAAAGTTACGACGTCCTAAGTCAATTAAATAGGGGGGATCGTAATATGTGGTGGGCACTTACGGTCAGTCACCGCTGATTGTCCCGACAAATTACAGAAGGCATTCATCAGGATCAGATAAATCACGAATATTTTTCTTAGTATTTCATTTCCTGCTTTTCGTTCCTTGTCTTGTGACTTCGGTCTGATGCTATATCAGTTATGTCCATAAATAACAACCTTAGCAACTATTCATATATTCACTGGATGGACTTTACGTCCCATCAGTTTAACCAGTTCAGATAACTTAAGGTTCATTTCACTACTGATAAGTTAATTATACAGAGATGGTATTAATTCATGATTGTCACCGTTTGTGTTCGTATACTACTGTACATTTGTTACACTGTTTTCTTGTTATGTGATAGTCATTTTGTTGCTGAGCATCAACGTCTTGGTATGTCTACGCTTTGATTATATAATTCGTAGTTAGCGTCGAAACTAAGTTACTAACTGGCCTAAGGGAATTACGTTATTGACAAGGCTCTGAAATCTTGTCTTGAGTTGAATTTCACTCAGTTCCATATCGTTACATAATTAGGCTGTATTGATCATAATATAGTATTAATCGGCTTCTGGAGGTCTTTTTAAAAATAAATATGTATGGAGTCCCCCTATTCCAATATACCGATGCATCCCTCACTTGAGTTACATTGACCAGGAATGTCTCTCGTGGAACGGCCTACTGCGAGCTTCACAGTCAAAAGGCTACGTCAACTGTCCAGTTGCTTCGTGGTTCCAGAATTAATAGCTGGCGACATTGGAACACAGTTTACTCCTACTACCTAGGAGTTTTTTGTCGGGAGAACGGGATCAGTCACTCCTAAACATTTCCGTCCCATCCCTAATCCAATGGCTAGGTTGAATGCCTTGTTGGATCCAAAGATGTCCTGGAGAAATCAAGACGGAGTACGATCGAAGAGATGTTAGAAAGGTTCCTGCTTATCTTTCGTTCTACATCATGGGGCACAAAGACGATTGTTCGCTGTGGGTCAAAAAGTGCTTGCTATGGACTATCGTTGTGCACATCCTACATGTACAGCTGGTCGATTCGTGCAAAAGAAAAAAAAGCGGTTTATGGGGTCTCTGTTGACTCAGACGTTTAAGTTCGTCATACTAACCAATTAAAGTGGAGACGTAAGTATGGGTAACTTCCAGGACCTATTAATGGACTATTATTCTACATATCTTCTTTCTCACAAGGGGGGTTTTTGTGGAGATTTAGTAATTTTATAGTTAAGATCATGAGTCAATTGAGGCTAGACCACCATCGAAAACCTGGAAGCACTGGACGGCCGTTTCGTCCTATTATGGGACTCCTCAGCAGTGCGCATCCACGAACCCGCTCTCGCGAGATTCGAACCCAGGACCTACCAGTCTCGAGCCGGAGCCCTTAACCGATAGACCACTGAGCTGGCATCCAACGGTGTTTATGTCTAACCTCAACCAATCCACGAAATTGCGCAACCAACTTCCAATGTACTGAGGTAGATACCTGTCTCTACCTGACATGGATTAGCTCCACTGGCCACGACTTCTCACTAGAACTCCAGGAATTACCTCAAGGAGCCAGTCCCTAGTGAGCATATGATCTTAACTATAAAATTACTAAATCTCCACAAAAACCCCCCTTGTGATAATGATCATATGCTCACTAGGGACTGGCTCCTTGAGGTAATTCCTGGAGTTCTAGTGAGAAGTCGTGGCCAGTGGAGCTAATCCATGTCAGGTAGAGACAGGTATCTACCTCAGTACATTGGAAGTTGGTTGCGCAATTTCGTGGATTGGTTGAGGTTAGACATAAACACCGTTGGATGCCAGCTCAGTGGTCTATCGGTTAAGGGCTCCGGCTCGAGACTGGTAGGTCCTGGGTTCGAATCTCGCGAGAGCGGGTTCGTGGATGCGCACTGCTGAGGAGTCCCATAATAGGACGAAACGGCCGTCCAGTGCTTCCAGGTTTTCGATGGTGGTCTAGCCTCAATTGACTCATGATCTTAACTATAAAATATCTTCTTTCTGTTTAACTATTGAGTAATTAGATTGTGTATATCTATATTCATCTTATTATAAGCTTCATTTTGACCTATGAATTATTATTATACGATTTACTGTCCCTAAATTATATTCAGTTTATTGATTATTGTCTGCCACGTTCGCAGCCACATTTGGCTTGATCTTGTACAAATATTATTTTCTATTTTATGACTTGATGCGGTCAGTCTGTCTGGTATATAAACCAAGTATGCTTGAAATAAATGATTCGCATAACAGAAGCTGTAATTGGTGTCCTGGACTCAACTGGAAGGGCTAAGCGGACAAGGGACCAATAAGGACGTTGGACTGCTCATACCGATCGAACGTCATTATTTTTAGCACAGTGTTAAGACGGGAAAAGTCGTATTTCGATTGGTGGATAATTCACGTAATAAAAATCCGGACATAAAATCATAACGAATTGGATACGGCCTTCTTTTTTTTCAAATTCATAACAACCTCGATCGCCAGTAACGGGACCCTACATAGAATACTTCCCAATTGGCCATTTCTTAACTAATCAACAGCAGTGGACACTTGGAAAAAATTCTAGAATCTTCTTCTGTAAAGACTATAAATATACTGACGTTTCCTCTTATTGCGATTCCTACTTCTGTTCAACCGTGTTCTGATTTGGGGACTTGTCGAGTAAATTGTCCAAAGAATACTAAGCAATAAGAGTAGCTGGGTCGTAATAAGAAAGAGCATAGCAGCAGGCTTGCCATAATTCCCTACTAAATAATAGCATCATATATTTTACCTGGGTGCGTGATAACCATTATATCCAATACTTAACACGTTCGAAGGATAAAATATTGGTGAGTTTTAGTCCACTATGTTGAACATTTTAGTATGAGTTGCTAGTCAATATTAGTCTGGTATTGTCATTTTATCGTACGACTATTATATACCTTCCTGAACAAGAATTATTCGTAAATATTTTGGTTTTCAGAAATTATTTGGAGCGGTTGCTCAGTAGTAAAGTCATTTGACTTATATAATCTAACCATAAGACTTCGCAATGTTGATTGTTCCCTCATTGATGTCCTCAATGATATAACAACTGTTCATCTTTATTTTCGCGTTGATTATTTTTAAACTAAAGAATATTAAACTGCATTGGTGTAAATGAAATTACGCAGTCTAATTACGTTTTTCCTGTTAATTTTACTTTTTTTTCATTAAGCAAGTTGTACTAATGAAATTTATTGGTAAAATAAATAAGCTTTACGCACTTACGCCTGTTGCCCCTCGTGAGCCATAGGCCGTCGACCATGGATCTCCCTCCCAGAGGTGCTTCTTTTTCTATTATCTTAAGGATCCCGAGTTATGGTTTGCCTTATACTGCCGTTCGATGATTTCCGTAAAGTGTGAGCTATCCACCTCTAGCGTCTTTTCTGAATTTCCTTCTCAACTGGAAGTTGGTTTGTTCGCCCTCAGCAGGGTTCCGCCTGCAGTACTCCTAAGGTTACTGCCAACCCTAAACCCGGATAAAAGAGGGTTGGGCCTGTGTTCAGTAACATCATCCCATGAAAAAAATGCTAGAGGATCTAATCTGTTAATATCAATTAGTTGTATCGACCATCATTTGATAATTGGAGTCTCGAATCAGTTTAAGTAAATGATTTCGTCGGAAAGAGAATTTCTTTCGCTAAATTCTTATTTTTGCATTAAGATACGTAAATTCACTCTTCCCATATATTTTTGTCTACTCAGAATGTGCTTAAGTGTATTTTAAAAGGATTACTGTTTATTTTTATGTCGCAAATTCTTTATTAAGATCATTTTAAGCTCGTGAAAAATTGTGTTCTCAATTCGTCAAACAAATATTCACATATAATATTGCATCATAATCCATCAGTTCAAGTTACCATACTTTTAAGCAGCATGATATAATCAAAATGAAGTACGGCTTAAGTATACATATAACGTCAAAGAAACCATTTATTTATCGGTAAATTTAAATGTAGCATATTAGTTTTCTGTTATAATTACCAACCTAGATGTCATTTGAAGTATTACCAACAAATTAAGTAACTCAAATATAATACCATGTATATACCCCAGAACAATGTTGTTTAGTAAACAACCTTCATGATCATGACTCTGGATTTGCAATAAACACAATGATAGATAATATACAATCTAGTTAACTGATAGGTGCTAACAAGGTTAAATTATTGACACAGGTTCTGTTATAAACGTAAGTATGCCGTCGCCAATTGTTATAAACTTAAAAGAGAGGATGCTGGTTATAACAGTAGGGGTTCTTGTTATAACAGTCCTTTTACTTTTTACACGTATGTGGGACGTTAATTTGCCTTAGACGAATATCTACACTAGATTCCCACCCAGTGTCTATTCTACAGGACTTCAACAGAACTCTGATCAAGAACACGAGATTAGCCTGACTATAACGTCAATATATTTCCACACGAAAATCCGACACAAAGAACAGTCAATCAAGAAGTGTCCATTAACAAGGAACAGTCAATACATAATAAGGATAGGGGAATATACATAACACACATAACACCTGTCATCCTGTCTAATGTCTGACTCATCGAGACAACCTATCATTATCATTCTCGCCCACACATCAGGTTCTCAAATAAATCGATTTCCATAGACAGCATCAATATCCAAGAAATAATATATTACTTTGTAGTTAAATCATTACTTTAATTACAATGTAGTACCAGTTCATATGTTAGGCCCATATACTTTATTCTAGTTACTGGCCAAGCCAATTCACCTGTACATTGAGTCATCTTTTGATCATGTTAATCATTTGCTTATTAACCTTGAGTACTTTTTATATGAGCGCATATGTGTACACTTCGTATCTTATTCATCATATGTCTGTCACTCATTTTTGTCTGCCTATAAATGTTAGTTAACGCTTGCTTAAAATGAGTTGGCTTCCCAGCCATCTCCAATACGCATCATCTTTGCTTCGCTTGCTTACAGTTGCTCATGTGCTTACAACTTTCTGGTCTGCATCGATTATCAATAAAAATGTAGTTGCCGCTTCCCTTTGCCTTCTGATATTATACACCGTTAAGATTGGTATTAATAACGGTTATCAAAGCGAACTATGATCGAAGCACGGCACTACAAAACTGGTAATCCCGACGTACGAACACGCAACACATATTGGTGAGCTGTATTTGGAACACGCAACAGAATTGGCGACCGCAACGAGCGAACACAAACCAAAAATGGAACCGTCGACGACATATTCCGTTATGATTCAAATAATCATCACAAGCTCATCATTACAATAATGTCATATCATCATCTAACGTGGAATTATTATTTTTGTTCGTATTGACATTAAACTATGACATTTACGCGGTCATATCACTAATCGAACAAATTATAATGATATGGACATTACACGTTATGATATTCGAAACTCTTTTCCCCTTATCTTATCGTAGGACGCGAGGTGACCTTATACTGGCATTTCGTATCTTTAATTATGATCTGGGTGTTGATATGTCTTACCTTTTTGCTCCCTCCAACACTAATAATCTCCGGGGTCATAGCAAGAACGTTCTGAAACCGCGATCTAATAAACTAAAGATGGGGTCCCGTTTTTCTCATCGAGTGGTCAATGACTGGAACGCTTTACCAGAACAAGTGGTATCAGCACCATCAGTGAACATTTTCAAAAAGAAGCTGGACCTTCACTGGAAGGAAATCTGTCAGGATTAACACAGGTTCATCAATCTACTATCCTTATTACCGAAGACTGAACTGGCTGGGCTAGTCAGAAAGCAGGACCGATACGTACTCTAGACTGCTCGTACGGTTTTTGTGTATCATTGATCCGATCGATAATTCGCTGCTCTCTAATTGGCGGTCTTATCACGTCATACGTTAACAAGGCATCCACTCGGCCACAAGCTATAACAGATATATATATATATATATATATATATATATATATATATCGTGCATATGAATCTAAATCAAAATTAAATGTGAAGACAACTTCATTTTATAATATTACTTCCTTTTGAAGTCAGTATCTTCAATTAAACACAGATGATATCCCAATAATTTCAACATTCATGATAGGTTATGTTGTAGTGTGGTTTACTTATATCCATATAAGTAGTATATGGCGATGGTCAGTGATAGAATGTATTATGTCAGAAGACCGATAAGGAAAGAACTGAAATGAGGCGCAATCGGTACGAAAATACATAA